AAGGATATTTGTGGAGTGTGAGAACCACATATCAGTAGCCACATCTACCTCAGAGTCTTCATGGTCTCCAAAGTCTTCTGGGATCAGACATATTTTTTTTTAATGAGATTCTATACAGTGGCTGGACCCCATGGGACACCAGTTTGTATTTGGGTTACATAAGTCTTGAATGGGACTAAATCAATAATATTCTTCATCCATAGATAGATTTGTATCAATAAAAAATTAGATTAAAAATGTATTTAAATATACACTGCCCTCCTATTGCAACTCAACTCTGCCACTCTTTCTTTCCTTTTATTTCAATGATAAATTGTTTTCATAATGTGGAAAACATAAAGAATATAATATAATGAACTTCCAGGTACCCATCATCCAGAGCCAAGTTTTAAATCTTAATATTTTCCATATTTGTCTGAGCTCTTTGTTTAGAATATTTTTTAAACCTTTAAAATATTTCATATACAGATGAAACCCCTTGTACCCTCCCTCCTAATACCACTCTCCATGGTTCTTCCCCAGAGGTACCACTACCATAAATTTGGTATTTATAATCCTACCACGTTTTTATAGTTTGACAGCATATGTATGTATTCCTAAACAAAATATATAAAAAGCTTTAAACTTTTATAAAAATAGCACCATACTTTACATAGTCTTCCATAATTTACTTTTTTTGTTACTTAATATTGTATTTTTAAGGTTTATCTATTTTGCTACATTTACCAGCAGTCTTCATTTGTTTTCGTTTAGACCTGAAGTTCACTTTTACCTACTTTTGCTTATTCACTGGACAACTGTCCACACAAAATTTTACATCTAGTGGAAAGAATGAAGGATTGCAGACAATTTTTTGAAACATAGCCATGATTTTAATCTCATCTGCTTACCATGAAAGAACTGGTTAAGAAAAAAGGCGTATTTCAGACTTTATTATATAGTTTTTAAAGATGATCTGAGCTGTTCAAGTAATCTCTCAAAAGTCCTTCTATGTATTATGAAGAACGGCAAATGCATCACTAAGCAGTTAGGCTGTAAGATAAGAGTGAGAGGTCTTGTAGTAAGGTATAGTGGTCCTGTAGTCTAGTTCTGAATCTGCTACCTTTGACTATTTATTTGACTTCTCTGGGCTCTCCATTTTCTAATCTACAAAACAAATCAATTGTAACAGATGCTCTTGGTGCTAATTTTTAATGATCTGTGACATAAAGAATTATAAAGGCTGAAAATTTACTTTAGCTTGTAAACTTTAGTAGACTTTAATTTTCTGTATGAAATAAATTTTTATAAGGAAAGTATATAGTATATGAATATTCACTTTTAGGACACGGAATATATTTAACTATTTAAATTATTATATAGGCAAGTAGTCACAATTTTTCCTTTTTTTTTTTTGAGACAGAGTCTCACTTTGTTGCCCAGGCTAGAGTGAGTGCCGTGGCATCAGCCTAGCTCACAGCAACCTCAAACTCCTGGGCTCAAGCAATGCTACTGCCTCAGCCTCCCTCATAGCTGGGACTACAGGCATGTGCCACCATGCTTGACTGATTTTTTCTATATATATTAGTTGGCCAATTAATTCTTTCTATTTATAGTAGAGACGGGCTCTCAATCTTGCTCAGGCTGGTTTCGAACTCCTGACCTCGAGTAATCCGCCCGCCTCGACCTCCCAGAGCGCTAGGATTACAGGCATGAGCCACCTCACCCGGCTACAATTTTTCCTTTATCATGCCTTTTGTTCACATCTGTAACTGATTTACTTCCGAGTCCTTGGTGTTAGGCCCTGCCCTGATTACGACATTGCTCTTGTGGATCTACTTTGTCATGCAAACTCAGAAGCACACTGTAGGAACTCTCTATGTAGGTGAATTGTAAAAACTATGATATAAGTGTTTTGTGTTACAATCACCTGCGGATTATTTGGCAGTTTTTCTTAACTATTCCTGGGTCCTTCAGTTATGAGGATAGGGTCCTTTTATTAAAGCTGCAACCTGCAGTATCCTTCTTAATCCTTTATCAGGAAGAAAAAAAAAAACATGCAGTCATTTTAGAGGGTTTTTGAATTCCTGATCACAGATATAAATAATAATCACTCTGGAAAATAGTTAAGTATAATCAAAAATATAATGTTCCTTATAACATTGGAAACTTTATAATAAACAAGGGATGCTACCCCCCCACCTCCCTCATCATTACACTTCTACCAACTCCTGTCCACAATTTCAAAAGAAAGAACAGAAAATTCTGTTTAAAATTTAACTTGAAGTCAATTTAAAAGCGTGATCAGGGGTATAGACAACACAGGTGTTAGAGCTATGAAAATAAATCTTGGTGATTGCTCAGGCATCTAATATCTTTTTCACCAATACTGTGTTTTCAAAAATCTAAATTTATATGAATAATAGATTATTATGATGATTTGCCTTTGAACAGCCTTTTTCCCTTCTTTTTCATGGAGGAACAATCTTAATTTATTGCTGGGGGAGCTGTCCTTTATTTCTTTATTTCAGAAAACAATCTACTTTTGTGGAAGACTGTCCTCATCATATAAACTTTTAGCATACAGCCTCTCAAGATTTTTGCACTATTAGACACTAAATGTATCACCTCTTGGGGATATGATAAAATTATGGGTAATACTCACATTGAAGTTATAGGTTTCCTTTGCTGCTCTATGTATCAGCCTTACCCAATGGACTTCACAGATTATATTTAAAGAATTTAAAAAAATTCTTTCTAAATTTTATTCTCATTAATTTTTCTAGGACATTTAATCATTAAATGCAATGAGTTGCTAAACTATGTCCATTAAGTGTGTAGGGTATGTTACCAGTGAAATGTCAAAGTTCTGACTAGGTAGGATTTCACAATCAAGTATAGTCTCTTACTATTAATACTTACAATCTTGTTCTTCCGTATCTCCCCAAAGGCTTTCATTTCACTCCTCTGCATTCATACTTAACTCCTACTACTAACTCCACTTAGATTCTCTCTTCCTACCTCCTTTCTCACAACTCTTGCCTCACAGTAGGTTTCCTTTTCTTCACTTACATTTAGTCACACCTACTATCTCACCATAAATCCTAAGCAGTGTGAGCAAAGGCAACACTGTCAACCTGTCCAGAAAGTTCTGCAATCATGGGCAATAGATAAGCAGGTGGTAACAAGAGCATTCAAGTGAATCAGAGCCAGGCTGAAAACCTGCTAAGCTGGCCTGGCTCAGAGGTGATAAAGAGAAGAAAATACAAGGCAGGGAGCATTGTTGCCATTACTGTTAAGTTCCAAGAGCAGGAACGAGGAGGGTGTTCCCCACTCCAAGGCAGCAGAGGGCAAGGGAGAATTCTCCTAGAGTCCAGAGGAGAAAGCCAACATTGGAACCCCAGGAAGATCAAATATCAGTTCCATGTCCAAAGGGTCAGGGAAATGACCAAAACTAGTGTGGTAAGACCAAGAGTTACCTTGCGGTTTGGCTTCATCATTATGCGGGTGCATGGGAAGTGCCAGCCGCTGAGCCCAGAGCTGCCAAAAGAGGCAGAAAGCAAGCATGTTGGAGATCTGGGGCATCAATAAGGTAAAATGTGATGGCAGAGGAAGACACCACAGGCACTGTTGAGGCATCAGGTAGGCAGTGGACAGCGGAACTGGCAGAGGCTGCTGCACCTGTTCAGGCACCAGGAATGACAGAGAAGGCTGGCACAGGTGAGTGGCAGCTGCTGGGCAGGACAGACCTGGTTGGCCAGTACAACAGCAGAGAGCCATGTGGGGCTTTGACTCAGGAAGGTGGAGGCAATTATGAGTGAGAAAGTAGAAGAGACAGTAGGTGAACCAAGAGAGTGGTCAGGATAAAAAGAGGGCAGGCCAGACAGCCATTACAGCATGTCCAACTTTTCAGCAGCAAGCGAATAACCAAATTTAAATGTAAGTTGCTTATGCCAAGATCGATTTTAAGTCTGTGCTTTGCTGGTGATACAGGATCATCAATTGCATCAATAATGCCCATGCTCAACTCATTCTGAAATGGGGGCAATTGTATAGCGTAATTTTGGTCTGGATATATTCAACAAAAGGGAAAGGATGAAGGCAAAACCATGGAACTATTTTTTAAAAACTGGCATGCATTAATAAGATATAGGAAATCTTGAGGCGATTTAATGACGATGTTGAGATTCATATAACTTTATGTTAAGGATTCTCTTTCCAGGAATAATTTATTTCCGTTATCTTCCACGGATGGTAACAACTTGATTTAGTGTAAATAACCACCATTTGATTACTAGCATTATCTTTTTTTTTCTTTGTCCAAAAAGGGTGTTATATTTTTCTTTACAAAAAATAAAAAGAGATTGTTTATGTGTATATACATGTATGTGTCAAGACTGAAAATTAAGCTTGGGTGAAAGTCTTTGGCAAAGAACAAACAATTGATAAGTTCACAAAATATAATTTATAATCCCGTTGTGAAGTTGACTAATTTGTTAATTTAAATAAGATTGTGGGCCGGGCGTGGTGGCTCACGCCTGTAATCCTAGCACTCTGGGAGGCCGAGGCGGGCAGATTACTCGAGGTCAGGAGTTCGAAACCAGCCTGAGCAAGAGCGAGGCCCCGTCTCTACTATAAATAAAAAGAAATTAATTGGCCAACTAACATATATAGAAAAAATTAGCTGGGCATGGTGGCACATGCCTGTAGTCCCAGCTACTCGGGAGGCTGAGGCAGGAGGATTGCTGGAGCCCGGGAGTTTGAGGTTGCTGTGAGCTAGGCTGATGCCATGGCACTCTAGCCTGGGCAACAAAGTGAGACTCTGTCTCAAAAAAATAAAAAAGATTAGGGGTGTCAGCATATAAAGAGGTAACGCTGTCTCAGTTGTAGCTACAGACTGCAAATCTTGTGTCAGTCCAAATTTTTGCCAGCAGATACTAATGACTTCACTGAAAGCAGATGTTTAGAAATAGAACTGTAAACACGACCCTACCTGATTAATATGCCTGTTATACTTCCTTGTTATGATTCTAGTAAATATTCAGTTATCTTTAAGTTGATCCGTAATATATTCAACAGTATCATGAGAGCATAATTTTTTTGATGATGCGTCCAATGTTTCTATCAGTTCATCCTAGCAACAGAGCCAAGTTTAGAGTTATTGCTGCCTGGGTTATAACAGCTGGCCCTGGGAATCTTGTCTGAACAGCAAGCTAACTGCTGTTCACAGTAATATCTGGTCTTTCCCACCCCCAAACATACACAAAAGATTTTTGTCATTCTTGGCATTGGGCAGTAGAAGTAGCAAGACATGCCAGCAGAACTCTAAAGGCAGAATGTCCTTCCACCTGTTTTATGCTGTAAGACAGACTTCCAAGAGCGAGGCGGTGTAGAGGGCTGTTTCCGTGAATGGCAGCTGAATGCACCAGCGGGGTCCTTGGCAGCGATGCCCGGGCACTGAAGCCGGGCATTCAGGAGAGCTAAATGGAGAAAAGAAACTTGAGCAAACCGCTTCCTGGAACACTGAGAACCTGAATGGGAAATTAAGAAGTACCAGATTCTTTCTATTCTTACACCAGCCAAGGTCAGATTTCCAAGTTCCTATTGATTCTAATCTTTCCCTAAAAAAAAAAATAATGTTAGGGCAATGTTTGAGGGTAATAAAAATACTCCCTTTTCTTTTAGAAAAATATTAAATGTTACTTCTTGCTTTGTTATGCTCTTGCTTGAGAATTTTTCTCCCATCCTGAAGTGAGAAATTCATGTTACAAACCAAGCAAAACCATGCTGGAGAGATTCACTTGGAGGAGACAAGTGTCTTATTCTACATCTCAAGGGAGAGTTCCCTAGGCAAGAAGTGTTGACTATGCCAGCTTGCTTGTTGCATCTTTTGGTATTATTTTAGCAGAAAGCTGAGGCTACTTGTCCCTAGACAAGGAGAGCTTGATGCAGGAATAATGGCTACAGACAACCACCCACTACCAGTAAAGAGCGTAGATAGATAGCAAAAGACCTAGAAGAGGTCACAGGCATTTGTTAATTTCATGCTATCTGCCTGGCTCTCCCCTGGAACACTAGTTTCAAACCCAGAATCGTGGCAGTTGAGGAAAAGAATAACAAGTGTCTTGGGGCAAGAGGAGAGGGAGGCGTGGGTGGACAGAGGATGAGAATTCCTCCAGTTATTTTCAGTTTTTCAGGAAGCTTAAAAATTGTTTGTTTACTCAAAATACAACCTCAAGGATGACTTTTAGTTAGAAATAAACGTCTGGACCTCTTGGCTTCCTCTTGGGAAGATAAATTCATTATTATTTCACAAAAACCTTTGCTTATAAACAAAACCTTTTGAGACAGGGATTCTGTGGGGAGAAATTATCTTACCAGAAGTTTTCAGCGGTGGTGAGATTAGAAAGACTGCCCTGAAGAAAACTGTTTAAAGGATGTCATTTTTCAAACTGCTTTCGTAAGAAAATTTACAAACAGTGGCTATCTTCCCATTACACTCCATATCTAATTCAAAGTCCTTAAGGTTTAAAAAGAGTGCAAGAAGAGGGGCTGTGGGAAATTTCCAAGCTGCTGCCGCCTGCAAAACCTTCCCTGACTGAGTATGTCAGTGCTGGAATGACAGATCCCAGGCTTTGGCTTTATTTGCCAAAGAGCTACAAGGAAATGGTAGAAATTCAATAATGTCAACCTTGCTTGTTCCAAGGAGACTCCTTACAGAGCTATGGATTCTTCAGAGAGGTTTTACCAAAGTAGGGGCAGAACACACATACAGACTTCCACGGATTCAAGAAATGTAGGCAGCAATGTTTATTATTAGCCCTTCTCTTTTCCAACAGCAAGAACAAAATCACTTATTTTCGATTGGCACAAAAGTGCATTCATTCATTAAATTATCGGACATTGCTCAGGTACCTATCATACGCCAGGCTCCATGCTAAGTGCTGGGTCATAAAGATGAATAGGATGTGCAGTGCCACAATCAGGATTGTTAACAGCTGACCTAGGTGGCTCATCTGGGTTGCCTAGACACAAGCCAACAGACACCTTGGGTCCCCCAACCTTATCTCCACAGGAGGGGTTGCACCTAAACTACTACAAGGACCAGTTTTCCCTTCCATAGACCCCAAAGTTTTTAGGTGCTGAACAGTTGGCTTTCCCAGGCAACTTAAAGAGCTGATATTGAACCCCAGACTGATGTTGCACAAGAAGTCTGATTATCCTCGCTCCCACTGGGTTGCTCTCCTGCCCTATACGAAGGAGAACAGCAAGGGAGCAAGGTTCCTTTCCTGGAATGCCCACCCATGGTGTGTCCAGCAGAGGACCTTGGCCTATGTCTTCTCTTTTCTTGCTACTTCTTGCTTTGTAAATTTCCCCCAGTAAAGCCCATGAGATTTCATGGATGGCCGGGCGCGGTGGCTCACGCCTGTAATCCGAGCACTCTGGGAGGCCGAGGCGGGCAGATTGCTCAAGGTCAGGAGTTCAAAACCAGCCTGAGCGAGACCCCGTCTCTACTATAAAAAAAAAATAGAAAGAAATTAATTGGCCAACTAATATATATAGAAAAACTTAGCCGGGCATGGTGGTGCATGCCTGTAGTCCCAGCTACTCGGGAGGCTGAGGCAGGAGGATTGCTTGAGCCCAGGAGTTTGAGGTTGCTGTGAGCTAGGCTGACGCCACGGCACTCACTCTAGCCTGGGCAACAAAGCAAGACTCTGTCTCAAAAAAAAAAAAAGAAAGAAAGAAAGAAAAAAAAAAAGAGATTTCATGGAATTCAACACAAAATCACAAACCCTACTGCATGATGTGGGGTGAACACGAAAGGATCCATCTTACACAACACTTCCCAGCACAATGCTGGAATCGCCTATTCCAGAACCTGGGGAAGAAAAATGTAATTATGCACTCTGGTGGGGACAGGCCAGATGAAGGGAGTGGGAAATACTTCAAGGAGTCTGCAGCGCTGTTCAGCTGAGGAGTGCAGGGTCTGTGCCATGGAACTCCAGAGTTCTTTCTCTAACAGTTCCTCCAAGGCAGTGCCTATCTTAAACCTCCCTCAGCTACTGATTGTATAGATGTTTGTTTCATCTTTTGATTCATTTATTCACTTAATCTGAGCTGTTTTAAGACTTAAGAAAGACAGTGGACTGGAAAGTGCCTTGGAAAACCAAAAAGCTCTATCCAAGTACCATAATTTGAATATGAAAGGTGTATTTACTAGAGATTAGCAGCCCCATTCCTTCTTGTTCCTACGGTAGAACTTATTCTCCAGATGAAGGCTTATTATGAAGCTCCAAATATAAAATATATATATACATGGATATGCTCCAGCTAAACTAAGGTGGAGAAGTGGAACCCCAAGGAGCACAATTTTAAAAGCTCTGCAAGAGATGACAAAGGGATAAAAGAGCTTAGATGTTTCTTTTAAAAATAAATCCCACCTGTTCTGCATCTTGATTGTGGTGGTGAATACACAACCCTACACATGTGATAAAATTGCCTAAATGTAAATGTGCATGTACACAAATGAGTATAGGTAAAACCAGTGAAATTTGAATAAGATGAGTAGGTTATAGCAATGTCATTTCCTAGTTGTGATATTGTACTATATAGCTCTGCAAGATGTTACCACTGGAGAAAACTGAGTGAAGGGTACATGGGATCTCTCTGTCTTGTTTCTTACAATGACATGTGACTACACAATGATCTTAAAATAAAATGTTCAATTAAAAATAAATAAATGCACTGTGTAAATTTCTCATCCTGTCATTTTCCTCATCCTGAATTTGCAAAGTAGCCAGACAAAAACCTACCCATGACCACCAGCTGAGAATCTTTGGTTTCCATATTAATGGACATAGGCAGGTGTATCAGGAAGCCTGCAGGTATAAATAACATAAGATACTGACTCAACCGATACAAGCAGTAAGGAAAATATGGCGTATTATGTAATGAGGCATCTTGAATATCAGGGTAGTCCCCAGGTCAGTTGATTCAGCAGCTTGATTCATCATCATGAACCTACATTCTTTCCAACTTTCTACCCTGCTATCCACAGCCTGTCAGTTTCATCAGTTTCGTCCTCAAGCTGGCTTCATGATGGTTGTAAGACGGCTGCTATCAGACCATGTTCTACATGCAGATGCAAACGGTATCTCTTTCCATAAGTCTCATATAAGAGCAAGGAAACACTTGTAGGTCTTTCTGCCGCTCTCTTCACCCACTTATTTTATTGTGGAACAATAAATGGATTACTTGGCCAGCAGGGTGGGATTGCCATTATCCTTAGATGGAGTCCCTGGGAGTGGGGGATGGTTATGCCTGAAAAAAGCCAGTGCTCTGCTGGTAAGAGCTGAGACCTGGTGATTGATGAGTAGCCAACTCTTACCAAGGAACCATGGTAATGCTTTGTGCCCGCTCAGAAGGTGATGAAGAGCAACAAGAACAACTGCAAGGAACACATTTTTCCAGCCTGTTCCTGATGGCACACCACAGAGGACAATGGGTCCAGTGTGCCAAGCAGGCTGGGGAACTCAGAGCTAGATGAAGAGCAAGGGAAAGAGGCTGCCAAAGCTCAAACTCAGAGAATGAACGTCCTACCAGGAGGTTGCAGGGGATATCCTTTTTGTGAAAGATTCTGTCCTGGGTTTAAAGGTGAGAAAATTTTTTGTTTTATTTTGCTTGCATGAGGATTAAGTTAAAGTGAAGTAAGGATTACTTTTTTAAATAAAAATCTTTTAAAAAAGGAGAAAATGCAACAATTGCCTTTCAGATTATTTCCTGGTCATCAAAGATTCCTTTTTATATTTACCTAGAAGGGATAGGAGTCAGTCTGTGTATTGGAAAATCTGTCCATATTTGGTGAAAGTGGAGGGCTTCAAAATATGGTGCAAATGATTGATATTTATTTCCTCCCTGAATGAAGACTCAAAGAGACGGGGACTCTGACATCTTCCTCAATGCCTATCTGTAACCCCAGTGCCTATCACATAGTACATGCTCAATAAATATTGAGTATACTAATTAAAAATGTCCTTCTCTACTCCCAAACTATAAAAATCTAAAAGTGCATGTTCTTGCTGGACAATAGCATCAAAAAGACAGGAGGGAGCTGAAGATATGTGTCTCGGTCATTCTCTGTGTCTATGATATGCCCCAAATGTGTGTTCCTAATGCCATGGTCCCACAAGTGGCCTCTATCAGGACCTAAGCCCTGTGGAGACAGTTGCTTGCAGAGCTCCAATCCAGGGACAGCCAGTGGTGGGCAAGATGCCATCAGCCAGCTCAGGGAAGGTCTTCTCCATCCATGCCTTTGAGGAAGGAGGAAGTGGGACTACATTTCACCTATGTAAGTCTCACTGCTAAACTTAGACCGAGTGCTACATCTCCAAACCTGGACAGCCACGGTGTCTGCTGCACAGGCCAAAAGTTGTTCTTGGCAGGGTCTGGGCAGCAGCAGTAGTATAAACACTGACTGATGAGCTCACCTAAATATCAAAAGGATGAAGAAAATTGTTGATCTTTCCCCCCGGAGGAACTTTACAAATGATCTTGACAAACCCCTCAAAAGATACAGAACCAATTTTTTTTACAACTGTCTTTTTATTCACGTTTCTATTTCCTCTTTTCCTGCCTTTCCCTTTTTATTTTTCTAATTCTTTTCTCCGTTTCCCTTCCTATTTCTTTTTTGTTTTGTTTGTTTGTTTGTTTGTTTTTTAGACAGAGTCTCACTCTGTCACCCGGGCTAGAGTGCCGTGCCATCTGCCCAGCTCACAGCAACCTCAGACTCCTGGGCTCAAGCAATCCTCCTGCCTCAGCCTCCCAAGTAGCTGGGACTACAGGCATGCGCCACCATGCCCAGCTAATTTTTTCTACATATTTTTAGTTGGCCAATTAATTTCTTTCTATTTTTAGTAGAGACGGAGTCTCACTCTCACTCAGGTGGGTCTCCAACTTCTCAGGCAGATCTCAAACTCCTGAGCTCAAACAATCCTCCCGCCTCGGCCTCCCAGAGTGCTAGGATTACAGGCGTGAGCCACCGCACCCAGCCATTGCTTCCTATTTCTTTACTTTTTTCCCACTTTCCCTCCTTCTTCATCAACTCTTCTTCCTCTCCCCCTCAAAGGCTATATTTTGAAAGTGAAAGTAGATTTTAATATTTATTGAAAGCAGTTGTTTCTTTTTCCATGGTTCTCTCACTCTTCATAAAAAATGATTCTTCCATCCTAAGTTGACTTTCATAATTACCAGAAGGCTAAAGGATCCAAATATATGTAAATTGAATACATTAAAAATAAAAACTATTAATAACCATTTAAAGACTAACATTTAAGCAGTCTGACCTCGACTATTTTTAAATTAGAGCTCAACTTAATGCCATTTATATTTGAATTCCTAAAATTACAACCATCATCTAAGTTTTGCAGGCTTCCTTTATCTGTACAGACATTTCCTGCTCTGTCTTCTCTTTCTCATTACGACTTACTTATTGTTGGTTTTAGGTTTTATTTGGGGTAAAGGAGTGCCTTTTTTTAAAAACTAATATAAATCCAAACTTTTGAGAAGCAGAGGAAGGGAGGAAGGCATGAGATACAGGCCTTAACCTAGGTTGGCATCTTTACTTATGTATGACTGGGTTAACATTAGAATGAAAATGTCTTTGCACTTAATTAATTTAAAATTAGTTTTCCAAACCTCAGTGTGCCCAGCTACACATTACGTATGCCACGCTTATGCACAGGATCACCAATTCTCATATCTCAGGCCCACAAAGCTGAGGTCAGCAACGCGGGCTAACGTTTGTATAGTGTTCCCCACCTGTCAGGCACCATGCAGAGCTCTTCACTGGCATCAACTTATGTAATCCTTCAACAGCACTACAAGTTAGGTGTCTTAGCATGAGCTGCCATGACAAAATACCATGGACTGGGCAGCTTAAACAACAGACATTTGTTTTCTTACAGTTCTGGAGACTGGAAGCCCAAGATCAAGAAGCCCACAGGGCTGGTGTCTAGTGAGGGCTCTACCCTTGGGGGGCAGATGGCCACTTTCGCACTGAGTGCTCACATGGCCCGTCCTCTGTTCTCCTCGGAGAGAGTGAGTGAGTCCTCTGGTGTCTCTTCTTATGAGGACACTAATCTTATGGGATCAGGGCCCCACCCTTAGCACTTCACTTAACCTTAATTACTTCCTTAGAGACCCCACATCTAAGGCCACACTAGGGGTTAGAGCTTCAACATGCATTTTGGGGGACACAAGCATTCCGTCCATAACAGTACAGAATATTGTTTGCCTTATTTTTTAAATTAAGAAACTTTGACGTAGATGGGTTGGGTAGTTTTCCCAATGTCACACAGATAATGAACAGCAGCACTGGGATCTGAACTCCAGTATTCATGCTCTTAACCACTGTGGTGGGCTGTCTCTCATCACCTACCATGCGTCATGACCTAACTTCTACCAACCCATCAACGCCATCAACATTTAACACTCCCAAACCCTGTAGAACTTTAAACCTATCATAGAATCATCAGAATTTTGCTATGCTTTTTAAAAAAATGCCTGTAGAGGGAAAAATCCATCATCATCATCATTATTATTTTATTAGAAATAGATTTCTATATTACCATATTTAGAAAAAATAACTTGTAGTTACTATAATCTAGCTCTTAAAATGCTTGCACATCTTGGTTACCCTAGTAAAAACTTCTTCTCAGTTTCTATATTTAAACTCTTAAAACTCAACAATAAAAAAACAAACAACCGCTTTTGGAGAGCAACTTGCAGTCAGCAATCCAGCAGCTTGATTTCATTAACGATTCCAAATAACTCTTTGGGGAAAGAAGAGGAGCTGTGCTTCACTATTGGGCATTGACAATACTTAATTTTGCATCTTTTAATTAGCTAAGAGTTGGTAAACTGACTTCCTTTTTTGAACAGGGAGGGTTTGAATCTTTGGCATATGAATGGAAAAATTTGGGGCACATTTGACATCTTTTTTTAAAACTGCCCTTTAAACAGAAAAGTCTGCTATTCTAATATTAAAGACTTTTGATTCATATGGGAATTGGTTAAAAATTCAAATTTTCATGTGACCCCATGGGAGATGACAGACTACTCTCTTGGCCTTATGCCCCCCAAGTCCAGAAGGGGCTGACTGTTGGCAGCTATGTTAAGAAAATATGGTCAGTGCCTGCAAAATTGAAACTAGTCACGAGGCTGAGATTGCTTAGCTTTTTCCCATTCACAAGTACAGTTGATTTTGCAAGTAATTAAATGACTAGTACAAAATATGCAGAAACATAAGCTAGATGTCATTAAAGAGGGATGTGTTGGTTTTGATTTTTGTCTAATGTAATTATCTGTAATTTGCCTAACAACTTGTCTAAACTGGTTTATTAAACTAACATTTATATGATTTAACAATTTAAAAAGAACCCAAAGATACTGACAGACTCTACACCAAAGAAGATACACAGATGGCAAATAGCATGTGAAAAGATGCTTCACATCGTATGTCATCGGGAAAATGACAATTAAAACAACAATGAGATACCACTACACACCTATTAGAATGGCCAAAGTTCAGAGCACCGACAACACTAAATGCTGTCAAGGATGTGGGGTAACTAACAGAAACTCTCATTCACTGGCGGTAGGAATGCACAGTGGCGTAGGACTTTGGAAGACAGTTTGGCAGTTACTTATAAACCTAAGTTTCTATATTTATAATACAAGTGGTTATAAATGTAATCAGTGATAATTTCTTTAGAGGCTCTAGTATATTTTAAGAATTTAAAGCCTTTTAACCCAAATTTCTACTCAGAAAGCTGGAGCACTGTAATTTGGTGAGATTACCCTTAGAATTCTCGCTAGTCAACGAAGAAGCGATTTTCACACTAAGTTAACAGACTTTGCCATGTTTGAATTAAATACGTAGTGAGGGGAATCTGATTAACTGATTGGCAGGAGTCCTAGATGTTTAACTGAGACAGTGCAGTAGATAAAAGCCAAGATTCTGGAGTCTGGCTATCCAGGTCTGAATCTGGATTCTGCTGTGTCCTTGAGCAAAGTGGCTCAACCTAAGTTTCAGTTTCCTCATTAGTAAAATGAAGCCAGTGGTAGCTTCCACCTTACATGAGGACCAAGGGAGAGGATCCACGTTAAGTGTAAATTAGTGCCTGGCTAAGCGCTCCCTAAACAATCTTTTTTTTTTTTTTTCATTGTAAATTTCTAAAGAGAATGTTTTATGCTTTTAAATTTTTTAAATCATTTCCCAAAGCCCCTAACAGGAGGGGACACAATCAGTGTTAAAGGAAAGAATGATAAATGTCTTGAAAGGTCAATGTCTGTCCCACCTGACCCATTCTCAGTATTACTAGTTTCACCAGGAAACAGCAGAAGCTCTATTTTGAGGCAAAACTGGGCCTCATGCAGGCAAGAACATTCTAGACCACAGGCCTTGCTCCTAAACCACAGCTACACACCGCAGCCCTGCATGGCAGGCCGGAAGGAACTCTTGACTGGTTCTCACAATAAACAGCTTCTCACCTGTGTAGTTCTTGGGAGTTATAAATGTGCATTCAGGTTCAGGGTTTTTTTTTTTTTGGTGGGGGGAAGATTGGGGTATTTCTCTTCAGAATCTATTTAAAAGC